TTAAAAATAGTGTGCAGATTAAAAAAAACAACCACTGAAATGTTAGGAAACACCAGATTGAGTTATTCTCTCTCTCTCCACCCCTGTTGTTTCTCCTACATACAAAAATCACACCAAATATTTTTCCTTTCCCTCATTCAGGGCACAGGGAGGACATTTTCCTTCATGGGCTGTGGATCTGTATTTTGCTTACTCCTCACACTTTCCTTCCTGCAGACCTGCTGAAGTTGATGGGTTTTCCATGGTGCTCATCAACCTGCATCCAAGCACTTCACCAGTGATGGATTTATCTTCACAACACATCTTTTAGGAGAGAAGGAGCTATTATATGTTCACCAGATTTGGGGATGGAAGAAGGTAAAAGATGTGAAATCCTGGATTTACAGTTCAGATTGAGATAAACCCTGTCTTTTTAAGGAATTTGGTATTATGCGGCATTAATTCAGGCACAAGATCCCCTGGCTTCAGATACCATTGAAAGCACTGAACATTTCTTCAAAGCAGAACTCTCTGAAATTAGGCATCCCCAAAAAGGATGGTCACACAATTACTGGCTGTCCCCATGTGTCCCATGTGACAAGACTGGTTTGTGTTTCCCAATGTCATATAGAACCTCTGTGAAAGAGATAGGGATAAATATGACTTTTTTTAAAGCTTAGTTTACAGGGCTTTTTCCATAAGAATGTCTTCTCGTCTGTTATCCCAAACACCTCCCAAATGCTGCAAAAAAACAGAGGCAGGTTCCCTCCTGTCATCACTCATCTGGATTCTTCCCCAGGCTACAACCCAGTCCTGAACTAGGAGTCTCAGTGACCAAAAAGGAGTATGAGAACATGTGGTTTATGGCAGGCAACGTGTGCTTTAGCAATAGGAGTGACTCTGGAGGGAAAAGCAATCTGTGCTGAGGACACAAAGATCTTATATTAGGGTGTTTCAGGGTAGTTTTAGTCCAGCCCTGTGGCCTGAGTTCCCATTAGTGGATTAGCACATCAAGTGGGGGGTCCCAGGAAACCATGTTGTATGAGCCAAGGTAAAATCTCATCACCTAAAGGTGGGACTATTGGGAAATCACTTCAAAAACACACTGCTAATCTGAACATAAGTGAACAGGTCTAGATGCTTCTTAAGACAACTCATAATTCAAATGCATATGAAAAAATAAAGGGTTTGCAGATGGTGTTAATTACATCATTTCTCGTTTCTTCAACCTTGAAGCATTGAGTTTAGTAATCTTAAAAATGTCCCTTCAGTATCTCGTGTGTGTCTCTGTGCACAGATGTGTACGGACACAGGACCGATGCAGCAGAAAAGTTAAGTAAGGCAGATAAATCAAGGTGATAACACTGAAATTAATACTTAGGAGGTCTTGATTCAAGTCTTATTGCATTACTCATTAGGAGTCTTTCCACTGATGTCAATGGACTTTTGCTTGGATCATGAGTAAAGTTACCACGGTCACATCAGCGGAGCAGCTATTATTCACACAAATTCCCAGAAGGGATTTTGCCTGCAAAAAGACCACAAGATTTGACCCCACTAATGACTCCCATGGTGTTTTCTACTCAGTATAGATTATCGAAGCAGAGCCATGACTCAGAGGGCTTTCCTGCTCCAACCTGCCTGTCATCAGCTCTTCCCTGCAATTTCAGAAATGAAGGAAGGCAGAGTCGCCCATTCACAGGACGTTTGCCCAAGAACAACAGCTCTTGGCCTTTTCCATAAACCAGCTTTTTCCCATGTATTAAAGGGAAGGGAAGAAACAAAAGAATGAAGCAAACAAACAAAGCAAAGCAAACAAAACAAAAAACATAACAAGAAAAAAAAAAAGTCAAACAAACAAATAAAACCCTTCAAGACATTAAAGTTCTGGAATATTTGCTCTGTGAGAAGAAGAGGAAAAAAAACATAACTGAGAAATTGGTAGACACTCATGTTTATTTAGCATCTCAGGCAGAAATCAGGGTTTATGTTATGTGAGAGATCATATTCATCCTGCTCCTGGCATCAGAATGTAAGATAATTGATGCAAGAACTCTCTAGACAAACTGTATGTGTTTCCTGGAGTAGATGCAGACAGAGCATCTGCATTTGTGTCCTTTTCAGGATGCCCATGCTCTGAGCTGGCCCCAATCCCACTTCATCTTGCTCAATGCCCCTAAAATCTATGAAACAACATCAGAAGGAAATTGCAAGAAGAGGTTTCCAGGTTTTAGGAAAAAAAAAAAAAAGTTAAGAGTGAGACACTCAGGAGCCTGTTGCCTCTAAAGTGGATGGAAATATTCAAACACAATAATACCCGAAAGCAAAATTCTGCTGTACAAATCTTCCTCAAATTTTCACCACTGCTGAGGTCCCAGAAGCAATATCTTAGTCCAACTGCAATCTGTTGATGAGTGAAAGGAGGGAAAGGTTGTAGCATCACAAATTAAAAAATAATAATCTCTCAAGCTTAATATCAGCAAAGATGATTATTTCCTTTGATTTGTCAGACTAATTGAAAATAGCTTTATAGTTCACAGATGATTAATTAGGAGCCAACAAGATCTCCATTTGCATCTCGGTAATTCTTCACTCTGTTTTATTTCAACATTTAGTCTTTATGCTTAAAATATTCATTGAGAAAGCAGAAAGGTGATTAACATAAGATTTTAAATGTGTGCCATTTGTTCCGACTTTTTTACACATTTTTGTCAACAGAGTAAGAAGAAAATAATATACAACGTTACAAAATGATTACTGCCTGTTCCGCTTACATCTGCTAAATCCTCCTTTACGGTAGATATAGTTTAACTAAGTTCATTTGGAAACAGGGGAGAAAAAGCCCAAATAAAGGTCAATCCTTTTCCCCTCCACCCCTATTCCCAAATCAAATGACTGCTTGACCTCTGCATAATCATCCTGAAAGTTTCCAAGTGGTCTTTCTTACATGAAAAGTCCTTACTCATGTGAGCCATCCTGCAGAAGATGATTAGACCCTGCCACTCTTACCCTCTCCAGTTATAAGCCAAGAGAAAGTGGGTTCAAAATAGTATCTGAGAGATGTGGTGATATTTTTCCATCCACCTGGCACTGGAAGTCAGGAGTACACGTATTTCTGGGTGAAAGAACTCAGTTATTTCACTCCACATAAAAAAAAAAAAAAATCATTTGCAGGTCACATCTGCTGAGGTCTTTACATTTGGGGGTTGTTTTTTGCTTGGGGTTTTTTAACAATCTTCTCATAGCCTTGTCAGCCTCTGTTTTGTCACACCATGCTTAAACCTCCAGCAAATGGAGTGGGGTGATAAGACCTTTAACCCTTCATTTGGAAACCCTTATGATGGTATAAGAAACTGGAAGGGTAAATACAAAGACTAAAAGGAAGACCAATTCCTAAGGATTAAACCATGAGAAATCAAATTATATAAGAGCCAAACTTTGCTATTAATAATAATAATATTAATATAAATGTCATTATTTCAAAGAAAACTCTTGCAGGAAGAGGCTGGCTGGTGGCCTCTGAATTTTGGGGAATTGTCCTCTGTCTACCATCAAACCCAGCCTTTTGTAACAGGTTCCACCTACTCCTCCAAGAACAGAGACAAGGTCTGGTCCATGTTGATTTCACATCAAGATGCCAACTTTAGATCATCCAATTATACCACTGAGTACTCAACAGGGCAGAGCAGAAAGTGCTTTTCCAGCTCCTGCTTGAAATCTTGGGGTCTTTCCTGATACTGCCCAAAAAACAGCCAGGACCACAAGGACCCTGCCATACCTTTGTGCTTATCCCAGTCCTAAATTGTCATCAACACAGGTTTGCCACCCTGGTGGCCATGGTTGACTGAGACCAAAATGGACCCAATCCCAAGTGGGATCCCAACATCAAGCAGGGGCAGCTGCTGGTCTGGGGTTGGAGGGACAGGGAGCACACACCGGACAGTGGGGTTACACTAACATGCAGTCCATTTATTTTTGAGGGTTGCTTTTTTTTAAACTTTGTTGTGTGTTTTTCTTTTGTCAAGTCACTGCAAACACTGTGTTGGCTGTCAGCATGAGCGCAGAGACACACATTCCTGTACCCGTGGTAACTCCGGTATAAATACCATCAAAACAAATTAAAGCAAAAAAAAAAAAAAAAAAAAAAGAATAAATACCATCAAAACTAATTAAAGCAAAAAAAAAAAAAAAAATGAAGAAAGAAACATATTCCCTTTCCCTCCCCCAAGCACAAAACACTTTTAAGTCAACAGAATTTAATCTAGTTTATTCTCAAAAAAAAAAAAAAAAAGGAGGAAAAAATATGAAAACAAAACAAAAAAAGCAGGTCTTATCACTAGCAGTAAATAAATTTGTACAACCATTCAGTCTGTATAATAGGATGAAATAAATCTACATCTTTCTTATTTTGGTGCGTTGAATTATACATACAAACAACAATTACAGGAACTTGTTCACAATGCGTATAGACCTGGAGAATGGCTATCTGAAAACCCCTTGTTGGCAATGTCCGCATGTTAACACTGATTGCCTGACACCATTGGTACTTCCTATGTAAAAGGCCCGTGGCCCGAAATGAATGATCTCCCTACAGGTTTTATTTATTTAGTTATTTATTTAATTAGTTAGTTAGTTAATGCATCATCAAAACCGTTCTAGCCAGCCCCCTCCCCCTCCCCGGAAACGAAAAAGAAACCCAAAAAAAAAAAAAAAAAAAAAAAAACCAACCAAAAAAACCAAAATTAAAATAAAATAAAAGGAGAAGACATGACTGGCAGTTGGTCCATTTGTTCGTAAGACCGCGTTTCCTCTTGGTCTGCATTGTTTGTTTTTCTGGTTCTTAAATTGTCCTCCCGTCCTCTTTTTTTTTTTCTTTTCCTTTAAAAAAAAAAATCTCTCGGAGTCCTTCATGCCTTTTTCTTTACAGCTCCTCAGATGCAATAAAGTCTTCCTCAAATGTACAGTATTTCTTACAATATAAGTTATATGCAATGTTCAGCGTTTTTTATTTTATTTTATTATTTTTTTCACAGCACTAGAGATCCTGTCCAATAGGGAATGCAAGTTCTGAATGGCTTATTCACAAATGGTATCCAGATTCAGTGGGTAAGAATACATAGACGCCATAGTGAGTTCCTTTAAAAAGTGGCAAACATCACTTTTTTAAAACTTTTTTTTTTAGCTTTTTTCTCTTTTTTTCTTTTTTTTTCCTTTTTTTGTGCTTTTTGTAGTTTTTTCTGAGGTTTTTATTTTTTATTTTTTCTCTCTTACGCCTTCAAATAACTTTTTTATTTATTTATTTATTTTAAATCCTTTTTTTTTTTTTTTTCCCCCCTCCCATTTGATTCGGGACGTCAGACCCATAACCGCACGCCTGCAAAAATGCAAGTATATAAAGTAAATCTCATTTTGAGACCGTAAGCATTCAGCAGGGGAGTCTCTCGCTAACCCATGGCAGTGACCATACTGGAAGGATGGTGAGGTCCGAAGGAGAGGCTGGATGGAGGATGCATCGGTGTCGGTGTAGTCAGCATGTGGCTGGAGTGACTGAAAGGTGAAATGTGGCTGATGGAGGACATGTGTCTGGAGAGGGCGGCGGGGTTAAAGGAGCTGCTCTTGGGAAAGTCTTCGAGGTTGTCATGGACCTTTTTGCACTTTTTGGATTTGCTAGACATCTTTCGGTTTCTGGTCTGAATTCCTTCCTTCTTCATAGTCAGGGGTCTGTTAATCTAAACAAAAATCAATTATTTTTTTTTGTGCTTCCGTCCCTTCTCCCCAAATCACTGTGGGATTCACGTGTCCCATGCCCAGGCAGTCCCGGGGTTGTGCCCAGGACCAGCTGGACAACCAGCAGACCCCCTCCTCCCTTTGCACACCACGGCTACACAACCTCTCCCCTCTCCCATCCATCCCAAAATTCAGATCCCAGCAAGAAATCCCAAGTTTGGTTGAAATTTCTGAAGACAAGACGACAGAAAATTGCTGGCACAGCCTCACGGCTGCAAAACATCCCCGAATAACTCCCAGCGGCTGAAAAATTTCAGCTATCTGCACATTAGGTAATTGCACCCTGTTTAAGGAACGAAACCAATCATTATCACCTGGAAATATTCCCCCCAGACACCGGCTCACCCCACGGCTTCCTGGCTGATCTAAAACCATTAGTGGCAACAGCTGCTGGGATTTCAGTGCTACGAGGGGTCTCAGTCTTTCCCAGTGGCATTAGGGAACTGGGCATACTCTTCACAAAAGTGACAGGTATTTGTCCTATTCGTCCTCTTTGGAAAGATTTTTTGCTCTGACCACCCTTTAGCTGATCTGATTTTATTTCAAAACTCTTCCTTTTTTTTTTTTAAGGGGTACTGAAACAGGCATTTGTGTCACCCAGCAGAGCATTTTCTACTTTCATGCAGACGTTATCTATAGGAAACCTAGGCATTACATTCTTCTGCATGGATATAAGCAGCTGCAATGACCAACCGTGTTGGGAAATGGTAGCAAAAGGACTGTTGAACCTTCTCTAAAAACCTCCTGTTGCTGCAGAGAGACAGCAACACAACATGCATTAGCACAGGTGCCGTGAAAGCCCCAGAGACCACACTCAGGAAGGGTTTTAGGCATCCAACACCCATAAACACCCTTTAAAAATATGGACTTGGGAGTCTAGATGGAGAGTTCTATAGGTCTTGCACTGGTTCCTCTGCACGATTTCACCCGTAGCAGAAGGCAGGAGAGCCCAGAACCCACCCACCCCAAGGGCTGAACTCCACTTCTCATAATACTGTGTCGCCCAGCAGAGCGTTTTCATGCAGACGTATCTACAGGAAACCTAAGCATTACATTCTACGGCATGGATATAAGCAGCTGCAATGACCAACCGTGTTGGGAAATGGTAGCAAAAGGACTGTTGAACCTTCTCTAAAAACCTCCTGTTGCTGCAGAGAGACAGCAACACAACATGCATTAGCACAGGTGCCGTGAAAGCCCCAGAGACCACACTCAGGAAGGGTTTTAGGCATCCAACACCCATAAACACCCTTTAAAAATATGGACTTGGGAGTCTAGATGGAGAGTTCTATAGGTCTTGCACTGGTTCCTCTGCACGATTTCACCCGTAGCAGAAGGCAGGAGAGCCCAGAACCCACCCACCCCAAGGGCTGAACTCCACTTCTCATAATAAACTTGCAGATGGATATTCTGCAAAAGAGAAAAAAGGGGGGGGAAAATGGATCTGAGACAGCAACTACTGTCTCAGTTCCGGTGAAGGACAATGAAAAGAGGTTCCTCCAAGGGTCCTGCGCAGATCTTCGTTCGTAAGATCTTAAATCAGTGCAAGGGACAAAGCACCCCCTTCTTCCAGATCACAGAAAAGTTTCACTTCTTGCTTATCAGCCCCTGCTTGCTGCCTTTCCCAGCAGCATGGAAATCAGTCATGGATTTCTCTCCCTGGGAAGGCAGGGACACAATAGCTCCCTGTTACAGGCGGGGATGGAGGCACGGGGAAAGGAAGGACCAAGCTCATCTGCTCCAGTTTAGGCACCCCAAAGTTCCTCATCCCAGTCTGAATTAGCGACCCTATGTTCTCCATACCAGCAGTGATGGTAAACTTCACCTCATCCTACAAAAGGGTGATTAAAAGGCTGATTCCTCTACCTCTGGACATAGGGAGCCGGAGGGAGCAGCCCTGCTTACTAAAGGTAGAAGGGAGAAAGCTGCCCATGCCCAGCCCAACAGCAGCCCTGGGGCAACAACAAGCCCAAACCTCAAATGTCACGGGCTTTAAATACAACATCACCCGTCTCCCTGGCTTCCTGTCCTCGCCGAGGGAACAGGCATACGCACACAAGGCAGCCCCTTTGCTCCAGCTGGATGGCTGAGGTGGGAAATCTTTGCCTGCCCTGTTTTAAGTCAGCCAGCGGGGACGCGTTGCCCAGGTTCAAAGCCAGAAGGAAGCCCCAGGCAAGCCCCACCAGGCAGCAATGAGAGAGGAGACCTGGAAGTCTCGATCCCTGATGAATCCAGCTCAGATTTGGGGAGGCAGCTCCTAATGAGGATTTGTAGTGTGGCACAAATGCTCAGGGGCAGCCAGAATTGATTCCCAGGTGAAGCAGCAAAGGTGCAAGCTCAGGGGCTGGCGATGGCAAAGGGACATCAGCCTGGTGCTGGGTCTAGGGCTGTGCAGGATCCTGACCCTGAGCATCTTGGTGTCATGTCCTGCAGGACAATGACCACTTCCCCAAACCAACAGTCCACGTTTTACTCAACTGTTAAGAACAGACTGGCCCAGGCTGTGATTTGAAGTGAAACTTCAGGATGGGAATACCAGTTTGGCTCACAACGGTGACAAAGCCACAGCCAGCCCTGCAACTGGGGACAGAGACGCCATCCAAGCTGTTAGCTGGACACATCACCCCTGTGTACACGGTCTCACCATCCTAGCAGATACCTGACCTAAGTGCCAAGCAGATAAGGACTCGGATAAATGTCAGGAGGAGTGAGACCAGCTCAGTCACAACAGCAAGCTGGAAAATTTTTCCAGTGACTTCAAAGGCCGGTCGCAGTAGAGTGGAAGCGATCCCCAAAACATCAAAGCCATAAAGCCATCTCTGTTTCTGGGGTAGAGAAACGAGAGACCCGGAGGGAAGACCTTCTCCATGAAAATTCATTGTAATAAAAATGACAAACACATGCTAAATTAAAATTAAACCAGCCCAACACATGTATATGAAATTCATTAATTTCAGATGGAGCCAATTAATTATGGGCAAGAATTATGCTCTTTGTTTTATCGTATGCAAAATACCGACTGCTCCGCTCTTGGGACGCGCAGCACTGCTTTAGGATATTGTGAAAGGGGCCTTTTCTGAGGACTTTTTACCAAAAAACAATGGCAACTGACTCATTTCTATGGGCACAGGCCAGTCAGGAAGGTACAATCTCACCCACCCCTGAAGCGAGTGAAGGCTCATCCCACTTCTCAGAAGGACTAAAATAAGAAGGACGAGAACCCCACATTGAACAGATCAAATCCAGGGCACAGTCTTAAACGTTATGGGCCTGATCTTGCTCTGACTGAAGACAATGGGATTTTGCCATTGACCTCAATAGGGTCCTGTCACTGAAGCGGATTTATCCTTCAGACATAGTCATTACAACGTTGGGTTAATCTTCCAGGCTGGCTGTATCTTAGAAAGCACTCTGGGATGCCACAGGATGAAAGGCACCGTATCAATGTGAAATATTAGTCATTGTTAATACCGGTGTTAATGGAGCCGGCTCTTGTGGAAGCCGGTGGGAGAAATGCCAGCAGCTTCACTAAATGTACCCCAAGACTATTATGATTATTGCTTATATCCTACTGACAAATGGGTTTGCTTAAGCTGTGGGAATCAACAGTAAAACAAACTGATATAGCCCCCTGAAAAAAAAATAGCTCCGTGAAAATGTAGCCCCATGAAAATATAGCCTTTTCACTGCAATCATTCCCGGTGTGGACTGAAAAACTGGGCAAGTTTCATCTTCAGATCAATCAATCCATTATAATACCCTAATGACCTGAAGGTCCAAGGAAAATTCCCATTAAACCCAAAGAAAAGATAACAGCAGCCAGAAATTTGCTATAACCTGGCCTGAAACAGGGTGAAGGTATCTTCCGAGCAGCTAAAGACTTTCCACCAGCATTGATGCACATCTGTGCAGAAACATTGAGTTGCTTGAGAGGGACATGCTACGATGAGCCTCTTCATTTCTGATACCCCTCCTGATGGAGAACCGGTGCAGACAAGATGAAATACACAAAGGGAGCCTGTCCACAGCCTACACAAACAAGTCTTGCACTTTAACAGATGAGACCAAGGAACCTTGTCCACGTGCAACCACCAAACTTTCTCCCTGCCTTGAGTGGATTAGAGGATGGTGTTGGTACCATTCACCAGCACAGCTGGTGAAACACCAGTTAGTGCAGCTCCCTAGGTCCTGCCTCCCAGCAGCCGAAAAGAGAAGGCATCTCCACGAAGCTATCAAACAACTCACTCATATTTAGTTTCTGAAGCACGACGTGGCCTTCAAAGTCACAGCCTCTTGGGCTGCAGAAAAGCCATTTGGGCTGCAGAATAATGGTCCATTGTGGACCTTTAAAGCTGAGGGTGGTGTGTTCAAGGACTATCAGCTGCAATTTTGCCTGTTTCTCACTGCAATAATAACTAACTTCTTTTAAAGGTTTTGAAAAAAATGGATCTACCCACTCATAGCCAGGTTTTAGTATCCTTGCCCAGTTACATTACAGCACACAGTATCTCAGTTCTCTAGGGGTTTCATTTAAGCAGGTCCCATTAGTGGAGTTGCTTGTGAGGCAAGATACTACTTGACTTTGGTAAGTAGCTGTGCTGAGCTTTTTAAGCAGCTGTCGGTGTTTTTAATGAATATAAAAATGGTTCCAATGTGCCCAGGGCCTGCCCCATGTCACAGATTTCACAGCTGGATCGGAGTTTCCCTAAACTGTGCATCTAGGGGTCAATTCAGGCCGACTGGGTTTCACAACATTACTGTGAAAAAGAAAAGGATGTGCTCTTGCAGGCACTTTTCTGGAGAACGTCAGCACTCAGACACCATTCTAGATACCTTAGGGGGGATCCCTCCACTCAGATGTCTACCATGCAGGTAAACACATCTGAACTCATCATTCTGCTGACCTTTGTAGTCATGGGGAAAAACTACACCATCTTCAAGGATATAAATAATCTCATCCAAACACAGGCATCTCCATCAGGTCCAATGAATTGCACCTGAGAAGAGCTTGTTTTCTTCAAAGAGGGTACGAAGGGAGCAGCTCAGGTACAGGTCTCCCTATTGTAGGTCTCCCAAGCTACGTTATTTAAGTCCTACCACTGGTGGCTACAAGGCTAGAATGAAAACATAGGACAGGCACAGATGCCTCCAGTGAAGCTGGCTGACCTCGCTCCCTTCTTGCCATGGAAATAGCAAACAGAATATATTCTTGTGATATTCTGGGAGCTTTCACTCTGGGTCCAGCTCTTTTGTTTGCAGTGATCACACCGAGAGTTTGATGACAAGCCTTGCTTGCTACATAGGACTCAAAACATGCTGAGACGCCTTCCCACTAAAGAGTAAACACATTTTCCTTTTTTTCCAAGAGAGATGCCTCTCAAAGAACAGGTGAAAAATTAGCCTGGTTGGGTTTTGGGGTTTTTTTCTACTTAATCCAAACTTGTTTACTCATCCCAAGAAACCAAAGAGCTTGAAATAACAAATGGAAGGGACTGAGACACCACAAGGGTTGGGTGCCCCATGAAACCCAACCTGCCTTTGATGTGTTTGCGTGGGTGGACATGAGGGCAAAGCATAGCCCAAGATTTCTAAAAGTCATACATAAAGCAAACGACCACTAGAGAAAAAAAAGGAAAAAAAAAAAAAAAAAAGAAAGAAGTGATATCAAAGCAGAGAAATTTAAAATCTTTTCCTTCTTCTGACATGAGAATTATTCTAATGCCACATGTGGAATGAGAGTAACAGGAGTAGCCTTAAGACTCCTTTATTAGCAGTATTATTCAGGAGAAGACTTTTCAGATCCCTTTAGCTCTTTCCCTAGGGCACATATCCCTGGTTCCTGCAAGCTGGCTTTGCATAGCGATATTAGATTAAATCTGCCAGCCATTTCATTTCATTTTTCCTTCCCTTCCATGACGGACACTTTAAAATTCACCCCACAGATTGAGCAGAGCCTGCAACCCGCTAACTAAATCAAGTCCTTTTGGGTTTAGGAATCGCTTGCGTCAATCAGGGCAAACACAAGACCAAAATAAATCATCTTCGGGGATGGGTGGAGGGACTGGACAAAGGCAGCCACAAACCCAGGAAAGATCTAAATAGTTGCTGGCACATTTTGCTTTTTTTCCAGAGTTTGTATTTGCTGGAGGAACCAAGCTACACATAGAAGGGGTATCGGCTTGCAGGACGGCGTGTTGTCTTTTCCAATACACTGAGCCCAATCAACAGATAATGTCTCTCTGTGTCGATCCACCCCTCCTTTCTTGGCTCGGGCATGGGAAAGCTCTAACGTTACCCATGGGCAGCCCTGTTTTATACCTCCCCAAGTCAGATCAGCTACATTTGAAGGGATGGCGCCTCATCTCTCCAACCCCCAAGACCCCCCAAAGGATAAAGGAGGTCTCAGCACCACCCGAGACTGGAAATCCTTAAGTCAAGGAAGAGTTTTGACCATGGAGCGCTGAAAGTGAGGCCCCCCACTATCGAGTGTTACAGTCACACTTAACATTTACAGTCACACTTACATTGTGCAGCTTGTAGTAGAGCCCGCAGGCGTTACAGACGGGGTCGCCGTTGGCATTTCTCCTCCACAGGGTGGTAGTGGTGGTCTGACAGTTCGCGCAGGACGTGCCCGCCCTCCTGGCTGCAGACTGTGGGATGGAGGGGGAAGAAAGACAGGGGAAGAGGAGGAGAGGGAGAGAGAAGCACCCATGTTAAAAAAAAAAAAAAATATATATATATATAAAAAAAATAAAAGATGCAATCAGCAAAATTGCTGAGAAAGAAAACATCAACCCTGCAAGACTGACGCACATCGGCAGAGGCCTCCAGAAACTGGCTTGTGAGAACAAATAATAATTCTGAAAAAAATCCCCGAGGTACTTTAATCCCAAATTATATACGAACTGAATCAGGTGCCAAAGGGCATCCTAAAAGTGAGTGCTAAACCTCTGATAGAACTCATCAAAATTAGCAGCGCTGGCACAGCCCATTCCAGAGGGGAAAATATTATTTAAATGCCAACGTGTCTTTCCATCTTTAATTCTCCCAGGCCCCCTCAGGGGTCTAATTCTGCAGTCAGGGCCTGAACCAACAATTGTTGGAGTCAACGGCATGAGTCACACCGGCTCCAGCCGGGGCCGGGTGAGACCCGTGTTGGGCTCGCTCGGTGGGCAGCTGCTCCCCAGGCTCCGACCACAAGCACGGCCCCGTCCCGTCAACTCAGCTCATCTTCAAAGGATACGGGGCTCCGGATCGGAAATAACACCGCGGCAAAGAGAAGAGAATCCCAACTTTTTTTAATTACGCCCTTTCGCAGCCTAAACCTTCATGTTTATTTAAGGATCGGTAATGAGCCCGAAAGAAGAATTTACCATTTCGTAAAGGAGGAGGGACAGGGGGAAAGAAAAAAAAAAAAAAAAAAAAAAGTCTATGTGTCAAGGTGCGTAAAGAAGCTTTTTTGTTAGCTGTGATAATGTTTAACAACGCCAAATTAGCGAAGTGGCTTCTCTTTCACATGCATGAGTTCATGCTTATCATTTAAAAACTGTAACTTTAGCAAACAAATTGTCCTTCAGCCACCCAAGAAGGAAAAGGAGTTTGCAGACTTCTGTGGGAACGCGTTTGCATGTTTGCCCGTGTGCAAGTGCCTACAGCTCCTAACAAAAAAAAGACCTTTAGATCCCCATCCTATCTCTTCTTCATCAATATGACACAGTCCCAGAGCTCTGATTTCATCCCGATGCAAGGCTTTCAATGGGACTGCTCATGTGCTTAAAGTTAAAACATGTGCTCAAGCGATTTGCCAGATCATAGCAATGCTTGGCACCTTGCAGAACTGAGCCTTTAATGCTCTCTTTTGTGCTCTCGCTGTTTCAAATTTACCCCTCACCCCACGCAGCCGCACACTGTAGCGCATCCAACGTTTTGAAAGAAAAAAAAAAAAAAAAAGACAGAAAAAAACAAGAAAATAAAATACCGCATCTTTGGATACTGTACAACAAACCCAAAATGCAAACATGGACACTGGCAGAGCGCTAGCGTTAATACCAGCTCTTGTTAGGTCATGTTGCAATTTTAATCATAATTGAATGCGGCGTAGGTGGAGAGAGGACGGGTTGGTTTTGTTTTAGATAGAGAAGGAATTATTTTTTTTTTCCCTTTTAATTATACAAAAAGGACTGTCTAAAAAGTAAATACTACGATGCCCAACGAGCATTAGGAAGCATCACAGAGAGCCTGATCTGATGGCAAGGGACTCTCACTGGCTGCCCGTGGGGACAGTTCCATTTGGCCTGACCATTAACCACACCGAAACGAGCCGACCTCAAGCCCGAGGAGGTCTCCAGCTGATTTCTCCATCCTGACGACAAGCAGGAGCTGGGCCTGGCACATGGGTCTTTGGCTGTAAAAATCCCAGCGCCGGCAGGAGAAGCTGAAGGATCCCACCATGAACAGCAGAACCTCCAGCAGATGCACACACACAAATCTGTGTCCTGTCCTCCTCTGGACTACACCACGGCCCCAAACTTGGTCCCCACCAAAATCACCAGGTCAATCTGCATGCTTCAAAGGCAGCGCAGACACTACATCTTGCAGAGCTGGGCTATCACCAAGACCCAGGGGCCAACTTTGCAGGTCTTTTCCCCACCTCCACCTCCCACCGGCCAGCACCGGTGGCCCAGGGGCTGGGTTGAGTCTCTCGGTGGCAGCTTTGCCCTTATCAGACCCAAAAATCAAGCCTAAGGAAATTTCTGAAAACCAGTGATATTTGACTCAGCCCACACAGGGGAAACATCCCCTTTGAAGATATTTGGGGTTTCTACACAGCACTCACCGTAATTTCTCTTACGGCAAGCACGCTTGAAAGACACGCCTGGCCACCACCTTGCTACCTCCAAGCAAACTCTGACACTAAATAAACGAATAAATCACAACATCCCCTGTCTTTTCTGCAACCTTCTCCATCTGCCGCTTTTCCCCTACAACAACTCAGCATCCTTAGCTGAGCGTTTTAAACTCTGCGCTCTTTTGGTCCCAGACTGTACCTTTTTTTTGCTGTACCAACTTACACCGGAGTCACCGAGAGCAGGCAGGAAACAATGAATAATATCACTATTGTAAAAGCTCCTGGCAATGGCATCCACTGACGCTTAATCACCGACCTGAGCCTGACCATGTAAGTCATGGGATGACTAATAGGGTGCCCTATATCCTCTGTGGGTCCAGACCCCGTGGCCCACTTGCATGGGAGTGAGGACACAACTTCAGAAGCGCTGGCAGTGAGGACAAGGTGGAATCGAGGGACGGTGCAGGGGGAACCAAACACTGATGAAGATGCTTCATTAAGGGGCATTTTCGATGTCTGGATTTACATGGGGCGCCCACAAAGCTGCAGGCATCAGCTTCCTAAAAGAAGGTGATGGGTGCGTGTGCCTTCTGAGAAATTAGCTATAATCCCTCCAAAACCAGCACAGCTGGACACGGGAATGGAAAGCTCCGTATCCACATGGGCAGGGAAAAGAAGAAAATGCAAAGGAAGGTTTTATCTCAGTTACAGGGCTGCCACTGGCTCTGACAGGCACAGAAATGGCCTCCAAGAGGGCTGTAGACCTTTTAAGCGGAGTGGTGGTATGGTACCACCTACCTGGCTCCTCATCCCCCGCCAACATCTACAGATCTTCCACCTTCCCTTCAAGACAAAGCAGAGCTGCCCGAGCCCCCTCGGCCAACAAGGCCCCATCCACCTCCCCTAAAGGAAGCCCTTACAAAAACACCCTCTGGATTTAATAAGGCTTGGGCTGGGTTCTCAGCATCTAAGGGCTTATTTGCCTTCTCTCTCCAACCCGTCGGAGTCCTTTCATTAGTTTCAGCGGGCCTGGGATCAGAACATCCAAAACCAGCCCACGGTCACGCAGGAAACTTGTGGCAGAAGGAGAGGAGCACACTCTGGGTCCCCACCCTGTGCTGTGTCCCACACACACGTTCCCTTCACAGGTCAGGAAAGATCAAGTCAAGCTACAGACACACACACACATCTACATCCAGGCACATGAAATGCAAGCGTGGGCCCAGCTTTGATGCCTTCTGATTTTTTGGGGGGAGGTTACAAGGGAAATAAATATAGAGGAAAACCGCTTTAGAAATGTTTGTCCTTTCCCTCTCTCCTCCCTCTCCCCTTCAGGCAGTGCTGGAAAAAAAAGATATACAGAAAAGTTAAAAGTTCCCATCTAGCAAAGTCTGCATTCGAAGAACGGGAACTTCTTGTAACTTTAACTACAATGTCCAAGATTGGAGTGATTATGCAAGGCAAGGGCTCTCTCTACCTTTTTTTCCTCTCTTTCTCTTATTATCTTTTTTTTTTTTTTTCCCCAAGAATGACCTTTTACAATGTATTTATTTACATAGTTCATTTTACATGTGCCGGGCTGAGGGTGACTCGGGACATTCTTTCGTGGTTCCATCAGGCACTTTTTGAAAGCTCTCTCTCTCTCCCCCCCTTTTTCCAGCCGCTTTCCTATTCTGCCTCCCCCCTCCGCTTGTTTGGATACGCTCAAGCTCCTGTGTGTTTGGGCTGGGGAAACGGAGCTGTTGTTTAGGAGTTATCTCCAGGGCTCAGATATCCGGCAGCTTTTTCCTAGGAAGTTAACTTTACACATAAAGAGAGAACGAGGAAAAAAAAAAAAAAGAAAGAAAAGGAGGTGTGTGTGTGTGTTTAAGACAGAAGGGCTGGGGGGGAGGAGGAGAAGAGAACAAGAGAGCTGCCTGAAAAAAAAAAAATTAAAAATCCCAGCCTGCCACTTCCCTCCCTAGAAAGCTTTTCCTTTTTTCTAACAAGGCTGTGAAAGATGGGGGAAACCAGCATCTTCCTATCTGGGAAAAGCCTGTATAGGGAGGCACAGAGAGGTTTCGCCCGTGGGAAGGCGGGGGGGTAGAGAAGCAAACTTCCCCAAAACCCCCAAAACCCGCACGCCCAGACAGAGCATCACCCCTCCTGGGGCCGTATCCTGCAAAGGCTTCCCTCTGTGGGCATCTCACAGGGTGAGGAAGCTGAATCCCTGCCTAAGAGCTGCCGGACCGAGGCCATGAGCACCTTCACGGGGAACATGAGGCCAACAAAGCCTTCTCCTGCCCACAGGATCCGGCTGTGCTGGGCACAAGCCCTCACACAACCAGCCGGATCCATCCATCAGCTCAGGAACTCCACAGAGAAGCATGAGCTGCTTTTTCCCCACATTTCGAGCCGCTCCCAGGAGCCCATCCATGTCTTTAATCCTAACGAAACCAAACGTGCCTCCATTCGAAACATTCAATAACTTCCCAAGCAGGGAACGTACTTTTTTTCTCCCCCCCCCCGGCCCCTTGATATATTTTTTCCCCTTGTGGTTTGCCTGATTATTTGCCAAATGTACTTCGACACATTCATGGGCCGTGCCCACAGCTTCCAGACCTTTTTGTGGCTTCCAGGGAAATTCATAAATAGATCGCTGGGGATGCTGTAACCCTATTGCCTGTTCGTAGCCCAGACGTGAGGCTTTGCAACTATTATTTCAAATATTTAACCGTGCATTTCGTCTTCCTCCAACTTCTGTGGCCCCGGGCTCACGTTGGGCTTTGTACGTTCACCAGGCTTTGCCATCCCCTACCTTGT